ATTTTGGAGCCTTAGAGGCATATAATGAAGACATCTCATTTAGGGCTGAACATTCCAGGATCTTTTATTTGTTGTATGCTATCCAGTTGTACATGTCTGTTTTAATTATCATCAACTGCAAGAAGAAGCTTCTCTGATGAGGGCTGAGTGATGCTTTGCTCTATGGGCATAACAGTATATAATTAAGGGTCATTTTATTGATATTTCTATTTAGCAGAATAGTTGTGGGTAGGTTTCCACTAGAACATATGATCTATCTAGCCTTAGGTCCTTAACCTCATTGACTGTGTAAGGGATGGGTCCCATTTAATGGAGCTGTCCTTAAATCTAATTTAAAAAAAATGTATAGTTACTCTTAACAACATTCTTGGCCTTATTGTACTGGTTGGCATATCTTAAAGAAAGGAAGGTATTTTTCTAACTCTGAAAGTCTGTAGCTGGGTAAGATGGGTTTTCTCCTCCAGTAGAATGTATAGCGCTTCCAGCACTATGAACTCTAACTAGAAGTAGGAGTGTCAGTGAAGTCATTATCAAAACTATGGGTGTCTTGAGCTTTGGTCCCATTCCCCACGACATACTCTGGTTTTCATGAGCCCATTGGATGTGACTTTCATATTGGGGTATAAATTTATAGATAAAGTGTGTGGTGATGGTTTTCTCCTCTCTCTTGAAAACATATCTAACCTAAGGCACCAATCTTATTGCTACCAAAAGGATCTCTAATAATTTAAGAATACATGAAGCACCGTGAAATAAATTCATAGCCTTTGAATGAAACCAAAGCCAAGAGAAAAATTCTGAAACACATTAAGGTTGATTTTATGTCCTTCAAGTAACTATTGTGGAATAATTAGCCCTAAGCTGAAGGGAAGGGTGAGTGAGAAAATGATTTCTTCTTATGTGGAAACGTTATCCTGTCCCGATAACAGAAGCCCTGATAACTGTGGCTTCATTTCTGTTGCTGTACTAAAACAACCCGACAAGAAAACAACTTAGGGGAGAAATGGTTAATTTTAACTCACAGTTCCTGATTCCAGTTTATTTTGGTGGAATCGATGACAAGAACTCTAAAGAGCCGGACACATCACACTGGTAGTTAATAGCATAGAGAAATGGACGCCTGTGTGCTCTCCCTTCTTTTTACTTCTGCTCAATGCAGCTTCTCTATTATTACAAAGTTCAGAACCTCATACATAGGGAGTGATGCCACTCACAGTGGGCAGGATTGTCCTACATAATTAACTTAATTATGACAGTTCCCCACAGACATGCCCACTGGCCAACCCAATGTAGACAATCTCTTTGAGATGATTCTAGGATATGTCAACTTGGCAAATAACAAATCAGAACACTTTGTTTTTTGGTTCTTTATTTGGTAATCAATGATTCTTTACAAGCAGTGGCATATTTGGCTGCATACCCAAGCTTTAACATGCCCATTCCTGGATTTTGTTGCTTTAACAACAGAACTCAGCTTTGTCTAAATAGAAAAAGAACAGCCCCTAGCCTAGAAATGCCTGAAACAAACCATTTTGGCAAAGTACACTTTGAAAGGTCTTAGGAGCATTTCTTGTATTACAGAACCATTTCAGCATATATTTTAAAATCTGCAATATTTTAAAGCTTACAAAATTCTACTCACATTTAACTATAGGGAGGTTAGTAGTTCTGACCTGACTCTGAAAGTGAAACATCCCTGTCATTAATTTATGTACAGTAACTTTTATGGATATGTTTTACTGAGAACCGTAATAGTTAAATATTTTTTAAAAAGTCATTGTCACCACTTACCACACCAAATAATTGCCATATAAAAATGCAATTCCAGTACAGTAAAAGCTAATACATTTTCCTCCCTTGTTCTAAAAAAAAAGAAAAGAAAAATAAACTTAATAAAAACATTGAGAAATCACACACTGGAGACACACAGGCAAATATCACAGACAATTCAACTTTGGGGTACATTCTGAGCTTTTAATTGTTCCACTCTTCATCCTGCAGTTTATTATGATTAGGTTGAAGCATTTACATTTATATTTCTTATCTGGAAGAGATAATTAGATATTTTTCACCATGAAATAATTTACATTAATGGGCCATAACTCTCAATATGTGGTTTTAAATTGCACATTTAAATAATATAATACCTGTCTCCCTTAATTTGACTGTAATTGTCTCCATGTAGTCACTTTCTTTTCTTTTCACAAACACAACTGGCTAAAGCAACATACTAAATGTCTTCAGTTTATCACTTGGAAAATTTAGAAGAGGTGATGTTGGCAGCTTGTTTGGAAAATGTCGGGTTCTCAATCTGTACGATGAAGGTGGCTAAAGAGGAGAACAACAGGACTGCGGATCCACCGAGAGACATGAAGGCTACACCGAGCACGTGGCAGAAGCAGAGTCCGCAGAGCACAGGGAGCATATGGAGCATATGAAGTGCCTGCTGTCCCTGGACAGGGGAGGAGTGTTTGCTGACATCTGTTTTTATTTTTTCTCTCCATATGAACAACCTCCTTTTTTGTGTGTTTGTTTGTTTGTCATTAGAAGAGAAAATTGACCTACTGAACTCTACGCTACAGCTTACTCTTAGCCCAGCGTGGTCAATGATCCTTCCTTTGCTGACAACCAGTTTGAATACTTTACGTGGGTATTACTTTGTCTGTTTATTCTCTTAGGGATTTCATAGGCTGTGATGTATGGACTGAGTTAGGTCCACACGATAGAAGAAAAGCTCTGAAAGACCATGTTGTAGAAGACGGTGAATCTATAGAGAAAGCACCTGTACATCAATTTTGTCCTGAAAGATTGTTACCAGCAAGAGTTTCACAACTGAAAATTTGGTTGTGTGGAAATAGAGCTTTGAAACTGTACACAAGATACCCTCTGACTGATTCTCCATCATTGATGGCTGGGGATGTAGCTAGTGATAGGTGGGGTACCTGCTTAGCAGCACTAGGCCCTGAGTACCTTCTTTAGTACCACAGAAAAGGGGGGAGGGGCAGTGGATAGCCCTGTAATGGCTGATATTGGTGAAATAAAGAATATCATTTTACGTTTTTTATACCAGTTTAGAAGCTATTGAGAGATTCTAATTTCTAATTAATTAAATTGGCAACAAAATGTACATTCAGTCAAAGGTCTTCAGGGCTTACAAACAGTAAGTTATGATTTATAATTGGCAAACAAAAGTGACCTTCGAGTTGGTTGGCTTCTTAGAAATTCAGTGTCTTGTTAAGAAACATGTGGTGTTACTGGTGGCATTGAAGACCTATCATGCCATTGTGCATATAAAATATTTTGGAAAGCGTAAATATTTATTAACACACAAATGCACTGATGATAATAATAAATGATCCCATTAAGGGGCGGAGGGGATGCTTAGGATGAAGGCGAGATGCTCTTCCCACATCTTGTCTTCTCTCAGAGCTATGCCCTTGGTAGCTTATTAACCACACTACCCCCGCACCACCATGCACCATAAACATCCCCAAGCCACTATCTTCCTATTACTAATTAGTTGCATCTGGAATAAAGTAGCTGCCAGTGGAGAGTCAATTCATAGCTCTGTAAATTGTGAGTATTTTAATTAGACTGAAGTATGAAGTTTGAGCCTATGGTTTATTCTTATTTTTGATGTACTAATGTGAAACACTTATAGTAGACCACTTCTTTTAGTGATCCAAAAAACAAACAGACAAGTAAGACAGCCAAACCAAATAATATTGCTGTGCTCCAAATGTTTTTCTCCTCAAAAGTTATATATTGAAATATAATCACTCATGGCTGGCTCTTTGACCTCCCCCTCTCCCCTGAGGGAGGAGCAGCCTTGCTAGGCGACAGAGGAGGACATGGGAGCCAGTCCTGAAGATACCTGATAAGCTAGGGTCAGATGGAAGGGGAAGAGGACCTCCCCTATTAGTGGATTTGGAAAGGGGCAGGGAGGAGATGAGAGAGGGAGGGTGGGATTGGGAGGGAATGAGGGAGGGGGCTACAGCTGGGATACAAAGTAAATAACCTGTGATTAATATAAAAATATTAAAAAAAGAAATATAATCACTAATTATTACCTTACTCAACAGCCTCCAGAAAGTTTTACTTCTCACCATTTGAGTTTGTACTGGGGTCTCACCTATGTTCAAGAGAACACCCCTACACACACACACACACACACACACACACACACACACACACACACACACGTTTATTGACATCTTAATCTTGAACTTCCAAGTGGGAATATTTCATCTGTCTATACTTGACAGTAATTTGCTATAGCTTGACCTGGGTGGGGATTTTCAGTTTCTAAGCTCTCAAAATCATTTGCAAAGACTGAATCTTCCACCATCTTCTGGGTGTGTATTCAAAGTTTTCATTTGTGTTTTGAGTAGAAAGCTACCTCAAAGGGAATCTCTCTCTCTCTCTCTCTCTCTCTCTCTCTCTCTCTCCCTCTTATCCCTCCCCCTTTCTCTCTGTGTGGGTGTTTGCATGGGTGTGTGTTTGTATTCATGTGTGTTTGCATGGTGTTTATTTTTATTCATGTTTAGTAAACATTCTAGGTTGAGCTAGAATATACTAAACTAGATTTTTCATGGAGGTACTGTGACCTTGAACTCTTTCTGCACGCAGAGATGAGCAGCAGTTCCTTTAAAAGTATCCATATCCTCCCCTGAGATTAGCGTAGAATGCACGAAGTACTTGCTTTAAACTCAGAACACCTCCTCCCACCATTAAAAAAAAGACAAGAGAAATCCTCAGTTTCCCATCTTCTCCACCAGATACTTTGATAAAATAATGGGCAACTAGCCACCAATGTCCGGAACCCAGAGAGGCAGGTTGGTTCCCACCTGGGCACAGCGGCTTATGGTACCCCAGCCTCGCTCCCAACCGGAAGCCACCCTCCCGTGCTACCTCCAAGTTCTTGGCGGTTGAGGGTCTTTCCATTCCGGTTGACTTCTGTTCCTGCGCTGGTCTCTCTCCCTGCTCAGCCTTGCGCAGACATGAACCCCAGCGACCCCAGCTACTCTTTGGCTTCACTCTACGTGGGGGACCTGCACCCTGATGTGACTGAAGCAATGCTCTATGAGAAGTTCAGCCCGGCCGGGCCCATCCTCTCCATCCGGGTCTACAGGGACAGGACCACCCGTCGGTCGCTGGGCTATGCCTCTGTCAACTTCCAACAGCTGGAGGACGCCGAGCGGGCCTTGGGCACCATGAATTTCGATGTGATAAAGGGCAAGCCGGTTCGCATCATGTGGTCTCAGCGGGATCCATCGCTGCGCAAGAGTGGAGTAGGCAACATATTCGTCAAAAATCTGGACAGATCCATTGATAGCAAAGCGCTGTATGACACATTCTCTGCCTTCGGTAACATCCTTTCGTGTAAGGTGGTATGTGATGAGAATGGCTCCAAGGGTTATGGATTTGTACACTTTGAGACACAGGAAGAAGCCGAACGAGCGATTGAGAAAATGAACGGGATGTTTCTTAATGATCGCAAAGTGTTCGTTGGGCGATTTAAGTCACGTAGAGACAGGCAGGCCGAACTTGGTGCCAGGGCCAAAGAATTCACCAATGTTTACATCAAGAATTTGGGAGAAGACATGGATGATGAGAGACTCCAGGATCTCTTTGGCAAATTTGGGCCTGCCTTAAGTGTTAAAGTCATGACCGACGAAAGTGGAAAATCCAAAGGATTTGGGTTTGTAAGCTTTGAAAGGCATGAGGATGCGCGGAAGGCCGTGGAGGAGATGAACGGAAAAGACCTCAACGGAAAACAAATTTATGTTGGTCGAGCTCAGAAAAAAGTGGAACGACAGACTGAACTGAAGCAGAAATTCGGGCAGATGAAGCAAGAGAAGCACAAACCTGAGCAGGTGCCGCAAGACAGAAGCGTCAGATGCCAAGGCGTTAACCTTTATGTGAAAAACCTTGATGATGGTATTGATGACGACCGTCTCCGGAAGGAGTTTTCTCCGTTTGGGACTATCACTAGCGCCAGGGTTACAATGGAGGGCGGTCGCAGCAAAGGGTTTGGTTTTGTTTGTTTCTCCTCTCAGGAAGAAGCCACCAAGGCAGTCACAGAAATGAATGGTAGAATTGTGGCCACCAAACCCCTCTACGTAGCTTTAGCTCAACGCAAAGAGGAGCGCCAGGCTCACCTCAGTAACCAGTACATGCAGAGAATGGTGGGCACCGGTGCTGTGCCCAGACTAGCCATCAACCCTTTCCAGCCGGCACAGACTCCTTCAGGTTACTTCATGACAGCGACGCCACAGACTCAGAGCCGTGGGCCATACTATGCTCCCAACCAAACCACTCAGCAAGGACCAAGTCCCCGCGGGAGTACTCAGCGTGCCACAGCTCATCCATTCCAAAGCATCTCTAGTGCCCCCCACCCGTCTACCACCAGTTTGTTCAGTACTTCTGGACCAGCCTCTTCACAGGCTCTACGAAGTGTGTCAACCCATCGTGCTGCCAACGCATCCACACAGATGACGGGCCCACATTCGTCAGCTGCTTGTGCTGCCGCCGCCCGTGCCGCCCGCGCTGTTACCCAGTACAAATATACTTCCGGAGTTCGAAATCCCCCTCAGCATCTCAATACACAGCCACAAGTCACCATGCAGCGGTCTGCTGTTCCTGTCCAAGGTAAAGAATCTTTGACCGCCTCCATGTTGGCATCTGCTTCTCCTCAAGCCCAAAAGCAAATGTTAGGGGAATGGCTCTTTTCTCTTATTCAAGCCATGCACCCTGCCCTCGCTGGCAAAATCACTGGCATGCTGTTGGAAATTGATAATATAGAATTACGCCACATGCTTGAGTCTCCAGAGTGTCTCCACACTAAAGTTGATGAAGCCATAGCTGTCCTGCAAGCCCACCGAGCGGGGGACTCTCCCCAGCAGGCAGTTAGCACTGTTGCCGCTGTCCCAACCACTTAAAGCTGAGCAGAAGAAAGCACAAAAACTCTTCCTGCTTCACTCAAGAAAACTGTCTAGACATCGAAGAACTATGAAAACAAAAAGCAAAATAGAAACTAAACAAAACAAAAAACAAAACAAAACAAAACAAAACAAAAAACAAAAAAAAAAAAAAGGAAATTGTAATCTTCTGGGCCAAGTCAGTGCCAGGTCTGCTGAGCATGTAAACCCTAGAGCATTTGGTTTAAGACAACAGATAAAAGAAACAGTGAAATTTAAAAGCAAATTAATGTTTTAGAGACTTTGGGGAGATGATTTTTTTTTTTTAGCAAAGTGCAAAAATTTAAAGCATCTCTTACTTCAGTTGTAATTCAAGTAACTCTCCAGGTATCATTTCTAAGTAATAGAATTGATAACTGAGCAAGGACCATGATTTGGATCATAATGTCTTTGCTTTACTAAAGCTTCCTTAAATAGCAAAAAGGAAAACTAAAGGCATCACTGTTGGCTAATAACACCTGTAAAAATTCTGGCAGGCTAATGCTGTCTTGTGGCCAATTGTATTTCTATTCACCTGTTGCCATATACAAAACACTTGGTATCTGTAATTCACAACCTTATCGTTTAATGGTATCAAAGAACCACCTGCAAGTCAGAAGCTTGTGTCTGTGGCATGAACTACAGAAAGGGAACTGTAACAGCCATAAAAGTTACCTTTAGTCTTTAGATTTCCTAGCATCAAATGAACTAACTGATCTAAAATATGTGCCTTCTTCAAACTCAGTCTAGCATTCAGACTGCATTTATGCATATCACTGCTTTTCTGGGGTTTTTGGAAGACACAAGAGTCCTGGTTTCTTGGAGCTGTGTTTTGGTGGAATAGATGAGAAGATAAAACAAAAACATATCAATAAAAAACATATCTAAAAACAAAGGAAGAAATGGGGGAAGGAGAGAGATAGGAGACATGGAGATGATGGAGACAGGTTGGAGGGACTAGGGTAAAGTGATTTTTTTTTTTTGGCTCTGATTAAAACCTGAACAGAAGATTTGAGGAAGAGAGGCATGCCCTCTGAAGCAGATGTGAGCTGGGTGCACTCTGGAGAGGGAAGAACTGGGGAGGGGGTGGCGGCTTTCTTCCCCAAAAAGAAGGAGGGATTTGAGAAGAAAAGCAATATAGCAAAGTGTTTTCTTTTTATGAATACCGGACTACACAATAAAGCTGTTTTTCACAAATACTACTGGTATTTTCTTAAGTTTAAATGACTTTTTTGTGGTGGTTGAATTATTTTTGTATCCCAAGATAGTAGTTCTATGTCACCACAAAATGCAGTATTATTTCTCAGTATTCTTCCCTTAACAATAGTTTGCAACATAAATGACTCTAAATTCAAAGATTTATGTAAAACCTAATAGCAGACTCTATATAAGTGATTTCCAAAGGATCATCTTTTTTGGTAATGAACAATTAAAATTCTCATCATTCATATTTTGGGGGGTTTATAATCACTAACAAATAGAATTTCCATCAAATTTAAAGCTAGTAACTTGTACAGTTTTAAGAATATCAGGGTTGTTAAAAGACACATGGAAGCAGTGAAATATACAGGGGCATTGAGCGTTTAGTTCACACAATGAAGAGATGTTTGACCTCACTAGGACTTGGAAATGATGGCAGACCTCGTATTTGTAGGAACTATGTTCCCAGGGGTAGCAAATTTGCCAGTTGAGTATTATACAAGACCTGTCCCACACTTCCAAGTCACGCCCTTGATGGGAATATAGATATGAGCCTAAGGAGACACGAACCTGGCTGCTCTTAGGTGCCACAGAATTTTTCAAAGAAACTTTCACTCCCAGGAAGACCCACTGCAAAAATTAAAGCCGTGTCCATGCTATGGAGCATGGCCATGTAACCAAAGTGACAGAGCAGCCCTGTACATGTCACACAGGCACTCCCATGAGCAGAGGTTAGGTTAAGCGTAATTTCAGAAAAATGCTTTGTGGCATGGTGCAAACTCTGGACAACTTGATATGCAAACCAATGTGCCGTGCACAAGAACACACACAGTAAACACTGAGGCATCAGGGACCGCATCACTTTGTCACAGGACAGACCTTCCTACTTTTTGAGTATCACCCTCTGCCTACCTGAGAGTCCATCTACATCTTTGCTGCACATTCAAAGAAGCAGCTCTCCCTGCTTATCTTCACTGAGAGCTAGTCAACAGAGTTCTGTTAGCTTTCATTTTAAAAGTTTCTTTCACTCAACGTGAGAGACATAGCCAAGGCTTTCAAAATAATGCTAGATTTGAAAGAGATTTAATAATAACCTCTAGTACGCAGCAAGTTTCAGAAATTAAAGTACTGTCCATATCTTCATAGCTTTTCATCAGATCTGATTCTTGTAGGCTTTGAATGTCCCTGTGGAGGAAGTCATTTTACCGAGTATATACACATATATGTATATACATATATACATACACACATATGTTTTTTTGTTTAAAATCTAAAATTTTCATTTTCTCTAAAAATTAGAGAAAAATAAAACTGGTATTTATTTACTGCTTACTAAGAAAAGTCTAATTTTTGTCAAGAATGAAGTTCTTGAGAATCAGGTAATTATTTCAGTTCATATAAGACTGGAGTCTTGCTCGCATGCTGGCCTTCTTCAGATTGTGCTTTCTCGCCCTGTAGTGCTCATTTTACTATGTTTTGTGGTTGCTGCAATTAATTGCTTTCCTTGTAACTTGAGGGTTTTGACATTTAAAAACACTTTTTTAAAAAAAAAAATTGTTTCATTCTCCTTGAAGACCAATCCTACTCAACTCAACTTTATTAAAATATTTCATCCATGAACTAAAACTTCTCAAGTAAAAGTACCAGCCTTTTATGTTTGCCTCGTTCTACTGTTTCACAGTCACATACAGTAGAAATGACAGCCACTGCAGAGATCTGGGTGCAGCCACACAAGTCCCCTTGACTCTGTTTCCTCTGTAACTTTCATACTCTAATTCAGGACCACTGTCTAACCAGAGGTAACAAGTTAGCTTGGTGTGTAAAATCTCCGCCTTACATGCTTGGTGTCCTGAATTCCCCTGAACTCACGGAAAAGTATGTCATATCTAACTCTTAAGAACTGTCATGAAACCTTGTAAATACATCACACACACACATATAAGTAAAATTCAAAGACTTGTCAAATGGTAGATTCTGTGCTTCTGAGATTTTGAAAACTTTCTCTGTATATAGGTGTACCTGCAGTTTCTGAGGTAGCAAGCATATAGGATTGCTAAGTTTATAAAGGACCAGTGAGGTGGCTCAGCAGATAAGGACACTTGCCTCCAAGCCCGAGGACCTGAGTTCAGTCCTTTGGGACTACATAGTAGAAGAAGAGAACAAACTACCACGAGTTGTCCTATGACCTCTACATGTTCATGAGGGTATACATGTACCCCCCCCAAATCTACATACAGAATAGTAAATACAAACTCTTAAATACCATTTGCTCATTGGTAATTAAAAATACTTAGGCCATTACCAGGCCACAGAGGAAGACAATGCAGCCACTCCTGATGAGACCTGATAGACTAGGATCAGAAGGAAGGGGAGGAAGACCTCCCTTATCAGTGGACTTGGGAAGGGGCGAAGGTAGAGGAGGGGGAGGGAGGGTAGGATTGGAAGGGGAGGAGGGAGGGAGCTACAGGGGATACAAAGTGAATACACTATAATTAATAAAAATAAATTAAAAAAAGAAAAAAATACTTAGACCACCAAGTGCTTTTTCTAAGAGATGAAGTGCCTTAGTACTGAGGTTGTTTGGAACTAGGTGCATGTGGGTGAATAAAAGGCAGAGACACCTTTTAGGAATTTGCTATTACATAAAACAGGCAGAGCCTCTTCCAGTTGCCTGAACATGGAAGGTCATCTAATTCCCTCTCGACCCTGACCCCATTTCTATGAGTTCCTCAACTAGTCTATTATGTTTCCAACTGTGCTCAAGTCCTCCTTACTATTGATCCTGCCTTAACTATCCACCTTCTCAAAGTTTCATTTGAATCCTTTCCTCCTTGAATCTTCCGGAGCACAGAGGACAGAGTGCCACTAACTAACAGCATGTGGGATCACATACAGAGGTCCTGTGTACTTAGTGGCTGACTAGCGTCACTTTCCAGGACAGGAGAAAGTGACAGAGACTATCACAATGCATTCACAGGACCCTTGGGGACCCCACTGACTGGTTAGATAGCAGAAATGAAGTAATATATCCAGTCATCATATCTGGGAAAATTACTAAGCTCATTTTAGTGAGCCAAAAATCATTAAGGAAGGGGTTTAGATCTAAGTGCAGAGTGTTTGTCGGGGCTGGAAGAAAACAGTCTATCCCTGGGTTTTGGCTACAACAGGGATTAAACATTTTATCCAGTGATGATGTAATAACATAATCACTACCTTATATATGTGCATGGGGGCGCATGCACACAGAGCAGTTGCTATCTTTCATGGAATGCAAAAGCTCAAGAACCACGGGACCTTTGTATCTTCCTTTCTTCTTCCTCCTCATCCTTGACTAACTGGCCTCAGAATAGTATCACAAAGTCCTTGTTCCAGCCAATGTATGGCAATAAATGAGTAATAGCATCCAATAATGTGTGAGAGAAATGCTTCAGAAACCATGAGGTGCCATACAGATATAACACCTCAATTTATACAGTAATAGAGGTGGTTGACAAAACTATGTCTTGGATTGAACAATCTGTGATAGGTGGGGGCAGCTGAATTGATTATGCAGGTTTTTTGTTTTTTTGTTTTTTTTTTAAGAATGGGTTCTAGCATGTTTATTATAACAAGATAATAGTAAGAAGCCAGTGCTGGCCTGACCCTTATTAGAGACAGTTGAATGCTTTCTCAGAGACCCAAAGTCTTTAAAAACTGTAAAAACATATCCAGGAAATGAGAAAGACAAATTAAATTTAGTTTTGCTTATGAATAAAAAGCACCTCAAGTCCACAGAATCGCTC